GAACACTTATGCCATGAAAGCATTTTGCGTTTCTTTTCAAACAGAGTTGGTGTCCTAAAGGTCAAAATAAGCAAAATTCAATCCATTTTTATTACTACTATTTTACACACCTAAGTCATGGTTCAGGAATGTACCCTGTAAATCATTCCATCTTCTGCCTCTACAAATTATAGGGCTAGTGTATGAAGGACACTGCTGTAACTTAGGTGTTGGAACAAAGCAGATGAACACAAGATCCTGAATATTCACCCCTTCCTGCACCTTGACCTCCCACTCTTATGCTGGAGAGGAATCTCATACATGTAAGGCCTGACTTCTCTTTTCTGTTTTCTTCCTTCCCTTTAAACCCTTACTTCATTATTACCTTCACTCAGTACAGTCTCATTCTTTGCTTATGTGTGTGTGTGTTTCTCTTCTTTAAGTGAAAATAGTCTGCAAACAGGGAGTTCAGTATGAAAGACCTTTGTACACACTATTGAATGTATATGCTCTCAATGCTGACTATACAGCAATTTAGAGAAAAGTGTTACATGCAACTGTGCCCAGCTATTCAGAAACATGCTGAAACTAATACTACTTTTACTGTCAGCAAAGAGATCTTTCTTTATTTTTGGTCACGCATACTTACATGCAGATGTGCACACACACACGCACAGCATGCTGCATTTTCTTCTGTTCCAATAAGACTTGTAGTCTATGGCTTCTTTTCCATCATTTTACTGGTAGCATGACAAAACTTTTCTTTGTCAACACATCTTCATAAAAGTGTTAATTCTTTCTTCACTTCTAACATTTTAAGAGGGGACTCCCATTAACATGGACCTTGTGGACACATGTTTTAAGATCTACAAAGCAAAGCCTTTGATTTGTTTTAGTTGGATACAGTGTTTTGTTACGTAGTCCTGGGTGGTTTTGAACTTGCAATCCCTCTACCTCATCCTCCCCAGGGTTGAGATTATAGGTATTTGCACCATGCCTAGCTACAAGGCATGGAATCTCATAAAAAAAATACTATCCTAGTTTGGAAATTGGGGAAGTAAACTTTCAATCACTATTGACACAGTAATAAGATACCACATCATTAGCATAGCTCCAAGATAAGTACGTGTGCTTCTTAGTCATTTAGATCAAGTCATTTAGATCAAGTATTGCCTATTACTGCTTCACTTTTAATCAAAACTGCCTTATGGAAATTGATAACTCAAACATTTATCTAATGATATAGGAAATATAAATATAATTCAGTTAAGCTGTGTATATTTAAGACAGACTCTGACCTTGTGTCTTTTACTCTCTTGAGAATTTGCGTATATCTTGTGAAGCCGGAAGGATCAGTTAACATGTTTTCTATTCATTACAGATGTAATAAATCCTGTAGATAAAAAGTAAATATATGATGTAAGGCCAATGATTAAGAGCTAGCACCATTGCATGTGTGTGGCCTGCCTGTTCCACCTCTTCCTGCAGGTACCTGCCTCATTTTGGCCAATGGGTTTTCTCTTTTTATACTAAGTGCTCCATGTTCTCCAGCCTTTTCTGAAGGAAGACAGATTATAGCTTACAAAAAAAAGTAAGTAAAATAAGATTACATAGTGTTCTATGACTTGCTATGAGGAAATAAATGTGCCCAATCATATTTCTTACAAAATTTAAAGAAACTCTGAATTCATCCACAATTAATAATTTCTGCAACAGAAAGGCGAAAACATGAGACAGACCTTTGCCCTAGTGGCACGTGACGAAGCAGGTTTATTGCTAAGTACTGCCATAAAGATCTGTATTCCAAGCTGAATCTTAAAATAAAATTAAAATAATTCTTCTAATTGCTATTATTCCCAAATAGTTGCTGTCATGAGTTATCCTTTTCTCTTTTCTTTTCTTGTATTCCAGGCTGGTCTCAAACACACTATGTAGCTAAGAATGATCTTGAACTTCTGATGCCCCTCCCTCCTGAATGTCACCATCTGTCTTTGTTCTGTGCAAATATGGAGATCAACCAAAGACTTCAAGACATGTTAGGAAAGCGCTGTACGCACGGAGATCCATCCTCAGCTCTTGGGTGCTGGGATAACAGAAATGCACACAGTGATAAGTTGCCTCTTTCTGGCATATCTCTGTCTTCTCTTCCCTACTCCCTCAAAACAAAACAAACACACAAACAAAAGAAGACCCAAAAAGAGAAAACCCACAACATTCTCTATGAATTTGACAATATAGATAGCTCAGGACATGTAGACATAACCATACAAGGCAACTTTTGATTTTTCTACCAACGTATTTTTATTTTCCTTTAGAATTCTATGTTTTTAGTTGGAGTGGTGGTGTTACATGCCTTGAATTCCAGAACTTGGTGTAAGCGTTTCGGGATGGGTCAGGATAGGATGGAACAGGAGTGGGTCAGGTATTCTGGCACTCGGGAGTCACAGAATACTCAGTGTTACACAGCTCAGGAGGAAAGGTATCCTGGAGCTTGGGAGCCAAGGATACTGAGTGTTACACAGCTCAGGTGGAAAGGTATCCTGGAGCTCGGGAGCCACAGACCACCATAGGTTGCAGTAAGCTTGGCGGCTTACAGCCTTGCCTCAGAGAAAGGATTCTCCGGTGTATCAGCTCCACTCCAGCAGGACAGGGTCTTCCAGCTGGGGATGTTCGCCTAATGTAGCAGTTTTGCTAGGCAGGAGGTTTCTAGGTCGAAGTTGCTACAGTTCAGCTCTGCTCCCCTGGAGAGCAGAGAGCGGAGAGCCGGGGAGCCGGGAGCAGAGTGTAACAACTCTGCTCTGCCAAGGAAGGTTTCCAGGGCAAGTGTTACAGCGCTGCTCGCTCTGCTCTGCTCTGCTCTGCTCTGCTCTGCCCTGCCCAGGGTCGCCTCTGCTTGCTCTGCTCTGCTCTGCCCAGGGTCGCCTCTGCTCTGTCGCCGCCGCAAAAGAAGATCTTCACCCGAAGCTCATCCAAAGGGGTTTATTGGAAGGCAGCTAGACCAGCCAAGCTGAACATACATAGGGTTTATATGGGGATTCCTGGGGTTGGGGAAGTTTTTACAGAGTAGGGATTGGCCTGATTTCAGTGCTGAGCTCAGATTGGCTAGAGCTCTACTCCGGGATTGGTTACTTTTTACACAGGATTAGGGTCAGATTTGGCTCTGGTTTCAGGGCCAAAGTGTGTTTCTTTCTCTGGTCCTTTTTAGCCTTTTGGCTCCAATTTTAGGGTCAGGGTACATTTCTTTCACTGACTCTGATTCCAGGGACAAAGTGTGTTCCTTTGGCACTGGTTGTAGGGTCAGGGTACATTTCTTTGGTTGTGGTTGCAGGGCCAAAGTGTGTTTCTTTGGCTCTGCTCAGGGTGTGTTTCTTTGACTGGTCCCTTTTCCCTACACTTGGGAGGCAGAGGCATGCAGAGCTCTGTCAGTTCAAGGCCAGTCTGGTCTGTAGAATGAGTTCCAGGACAGCCAGAGTGTGTTGTGCATTTTCCCGAAAGTCTTTAGTTTCATTCATTTTTTTCTGCCTTGAATCAATAGTCATTCAGATAGAGTTGCTTAGTTTCCATGAGTTTGTAGGCTTTCTATTGTTTCTGCTATTGTTGAAATACAGCATTAATACATGGTGGTTTGATAGGATGACTGAACAGAAAGAACACTGAATGCTAGCAGATGGAGAAAAGCCAACAGGACCTGTCTTCTCAGATTCTTCTAGGTCTCTCTTCAGCTTTCCAGTTTTCTCTCTTCCATTGTATAGGGTACAACATTGTAATTGGAGATCTTTTAACTGACAATCAAACAAGGTTAGTTAAATAATTTCTTTATTGCTAGATTTCATACAGAAACATGGCAGAAAGAGTAACATTTTATGCTTTGAGGATGGATTTGGGGAAAGAGGGGTTCCATTTTTTTATGGTTGTTTTCTTAGAAATCTAGCTGTTGTAGCTGACTGCACGGGCAGAGGGAAGGAGCCATTATAGAGGCTGGAGAAGGTAAGGGACAATTGCAAAGAAGTGTTGCTTCTAGGGTTTTTGTTTGGGGCACTGCTTCCCAAGCCCAGCTCTAGTTATCAAAGAATACTGCTTGCTTTGCATCATCACCAAAGCCCATTTCAAGAGGTTTACTGATCTGTGGAGGCCATATTTAAACAAGTTAGAAATGTTTAGAAAACTAATGGGACGAGACGAGGCCCTCTGTATGTGGGAGACAGTTTTGAAGCTTAGTCTATCAGAGGAGCAGGACCAATCACTGATTCATGAGCTAGCTTGTTGGAGCCTATTCCCTATGGCAGGATGCCATGTTCAATCTGAATGCAAGGGGGAAGGGCTTGGTCCTGCCACAACTTAGTGTTACAGACTTTGTTGACTCCTCATAGGAACCTATACTTGTTTTGTTGGGAGCAGTGAATAAGGGGTGGGCTGTGGGGGAGGTGAGGGGGAGTGTGGGAGGAGAGGCAGGAGGGAGAACTATGGTTGGAGTGTAAAATGAAATTTTAGAAAAAATGTTTAGAAAATTAAAGTGAAGCTGGGCAGTGATGACGCATGCCTTTAATCCCAGCACTTTGGTGGCAGAGGCAGGCGGATCTCTGTGAGTTCGAGGCCAGGCTGGACCGACAGCCTCCAAAACAATACAGAGAAACCCTGTCTTGTAAAAACCAAAAAAAAAAAAAGAAAAGAAAAGAAAATTAAAGTGAAAAAGAAATTATTGAAATACTTTTAACATGTCCACCTTTTATATTTGGGCATTGTTGTTAAAATGTTTAGGTTTATCCAGTAAGGAGACACAAACTGTGACTCAATGATCCCACGTGGAGTTTATTGGTGGACAGGGAGGGAAAGGGGGGTGAGAGGTAACCAACCCGTGCAGAGCAGAGAGAGAGATAAGATATGAGAGAGAGAGAGAGAGAGAGAGACAGAGACAGAGACAGAGACAGAGACAGAGACAGAGAGAGATGAGAGTAAGAGAGCAAGAGAGCAAGAGAGCTTAAGCAGGCAGGGGTCAGTCCTTTACAGGGGTCCTTTGCACCTGCGAGGTTCTCACGGAACTCTGGGCTGGCCAGAGTGTTGCCTGAGTGCATCCTGCCAGGTAACAGGGCAGGCCAGCAGAATGCCTGAACCTTTCAGCCATGGGTTCACTTTTCCGACTGGACTGATTGCTCTGAATCCTAAATGCAAACCAGAAACATCCAAGGATTTAAATCACTTACCAAAGAGATTTTTGACCTATCTAGAAGAACTTGTGTCACCTACTGTGAGCCCTGAGTTAGCCTCTCTGTTCTAACTCATCATCATAAAATAAAATTCCTGGAATCAATGACCTCAGAGCTTCCTTCTGTCTTAGACATTCTGTGATTCTTATGCACTCGTTCTTTCCCCCAGAAGAAATACTACACCACGTCTTTATCTAAAAGCTGAAAAGAAATGAATTAACTTTTAATATATTTCTTCTCATTTAAATTTTAAATTAAATACTAAAACTGAACTCAAGTACCTGGGCTTTTTATCTTAAAATGAGAATTATCAGAGAATAAAACTATCTTGTTTCTTTCTTTGTTGGGGAGATATAGCCTAGCTCACTGCAGGACAGAGAAATCCCTGTGGTGACATAACAAAAGATTTGCTGGATTGTCAGATTTTGCCAGAAAGCTGCTCACAGGAAGGTGTCTCATCAGAGGCATTCTGCTGCAGAACCACTGGAGGAAGTCGTTGGAGGATGATGCAGCCCACCAGATGCTGCCGGCTGCTGCTCACATCAGGCCCCAGATGCTAGAAAAAAAGCAAAGACTGAGGAAGACCCCGTGCCCGGTCTGAGAGACCTAGACAAGCCACATGCAGAGCAATGCTCCGCCCTGGGATTACACTGGAAGTTTGAAGGAAAAGGATCCTTTTTTCCCTGCAAAATGCATCCCTCCCCCTCTCCCTATAACCTCCACTTTCAAAATTTAGCACTAGGCTTTATAACAGAGAAAAAAAAAAAACAGTCCCTGACTCATATTCACAGAGCAAGCTAAAGGGGCCAATTAGAAATTGAGACACAATAAACTGACAAAAGACTCGAGCTCCTTGAGGGAGACTTCTGGCTGTGCGTGTGTTATTCTGCCCAGTCACTGAAGGAATGGAAGAATATTTCTGAAACCTGTCATTGTTGTACACACCAATGTTTTCTTCTCTGTGTGTGGGCCCCCAAAGCCTCTCTGTGTGAAGCTAATCTAAGAAGCTGTTCCTGATCTGAACACAGACCTGGACTCCAGCTGCTCAACTCCAATCCCAGAAAACCTTCGTTAGAGACTCCTCCTCGATGTTTCTTCATTTTACAGACTCTTGGGTGTGAAGAGATGAACTAAAGAGTGCTTTGCTTTGGATATGAGCTGCTATTCACTCTCTTGACCAGCATGGAAAGGCAGAAGGAAATCTGGATAGACACAAAGGAAAAAGAATAATTCCAGAAGGATGAACATGGTATGGCAATCTCTGGGGTACTGTTCCCTGGGAACAATGCTACTTTTCATCACTATGGGGCTCTGCTTGTCTGAAGAAGGGATGGGTTCTGGAAACCAGAGACAACCTGAAAGGACTTGTGTAAGGCAGAAATGAACAATGAACTCGGATACTTTCTAAAATTAAATAGATGCTTAAAGCTTTAATTTTTAAAATAAACTTATTTATGGGTGGGGGACTGGGGGACCTTGTGGGGAGGGTGGGGCAAGAGAGGAGAGAGAAGGAGCTGGGATTGACATGTGAAACAAGATTGTTTCTAACCTAAATAAAAAAAGGCACGAATCGAATAGCATCAAATAAAATATGACCAATAAGTCAAAGGCAATAATGGTTTCTATAAATAAAAACTATTTTAAAAACTGATTTTTAAAAAAGCAGGCACTATTAAAAAGCCCTCACAGACTTTTGGCTTTCAATAATCGACTAATATGGCCATGGAAAAGTGAGCATAGAACGTATTTTTATTTCTTCTACTAGAACTTGGTAGGGTCACCAGCTTTCTGCACGTGATGTTCTGACTAGAGCTTCCAATGGCCAGAGAAGTAGCATTAACAACAGTCTACGTTTTGTTCCAAACAGAAGCAGGTGTTGTAATGGGAGGAGCAGAGAAGTCTCAGCTGCCCACATGGGATCCCTTCAGGGAGAATAACAAATGTTTCAAGTTCCAGAGTCAGGCCTCATCGTTTCATGCCCTAAAGCTAAGTCAATTGAAACCACATCAGCGTCCAGTGCTGACAGCTCTCAAGAGAGACTAATTAAAAATCCTAGTCAAACCTGCCCTGATTTCAATGTGGCAAGTCATAAAATGATTTATGATGTTCTCTCTCCCTCCCTCATTCTTTTTTTCTCTCTCTCTCTCCGCATCTCATTTTAGTCAAAATTCAGTTGTTAAAATACAACTTTTCTATACAATATTGAATGACTGTTATAAATACTTAAGAAAATATATGACACAAAGGAAGAGATACAAATGTTCTGTGGTTTCATCTTTCAAAACAGTTTCATTATGAAATTCCCCTTTTTGATATGAATAAAATGAGTGAAGAAGAATCACTGCATGTGTATGCATATCTCATTTGTTTCTTTTGGTCTTCATTTCTTTGTAGTAGAGTCAGTTCTCACCGTGGGTTACTCAGTCATTTGAATTCTGGCATCTTGACTTGTGCATTAACTTCTGAGTCATTTGTTCACCTTACATTCAAGGGGAAATGGGAAAAATTAAGTGTGCTCATGGGGCAATGGGGTCTTTGCAGATCTACTGGAGGGCACAGTAAGGTCCTTGGATTCCCTCTAAGGCTGTGGATCTCAACCTTCCTAATGCTGCAACTCTCTAGTACAGTTCCTCATGATATGGTGAAACCCAAGCATGAAATTATTTTTGCTGCTGTTTTATAACTAATTATTTTACAATTATGAATTATAATGTAAATGTTTTTAGAGACAGAGCTTGACAAGTGGGTTGCAAACCACAAGTTGAGGACCACTGTTCTAGGGTATTTGGTCCATATAGCCATGAAACTTGTTTTCCAGATTAGGGTCCTAAGAGCAGAGAAGTTGGCTAAGGAAGGTCCCATTACAGACCATAAATAAAACATCCCCGGAACAAGTTCAGTATCTGGAGACCTGGTGTCAGTGGTCCAGACCTGATGAAGATGGCATGAATTCTCCTCTTTATCACTTATCAGACTTGTACACTTAGGCACAGCTCATAACAACTTGCATCTCGTCACCTCTCCTGGTACATAATTAACAAAAGTGACTAGTCGTACCTTCCTCCATGGATTGTTTATATACTACAGACCAGCTGTCAGCACAGCACCTGGTCCATAAAGAAATTTAGCGTGCAACAATGAGCATGACCCATCCTTTCTTCTCTCTGGCTGCTGATTCATAATCTATAGGGACTGCAGTTGAAGGAAGCTATTTTTGAATAGCTTAGATTTCTTCTGGTTCAATATTTTTCTGTCTCCTATTTCCTACCCAGAGCTTGTAACCCCAAGTTAGCTATGCCGAAGGTGTTGCTATGGCTACAGCCATCCTGTGACTTCAGGAGGTGATAAATCAGCAGGTGGCAGAGTCTGTGTTCTCATGCACATGTTCTCGACATGGCAGAGAAGGAAGAGTGTACCTCCAGAGGATCCTGAAGGATGAGACTCTGGGTCTCCAACAAGACTGGCTACAGGTCACGTGTGTAAAGTGATGTATGTGCACAGTGTATGTACCCTTCGCCATACCCTCAGCAACTTCAGATCTTCCTGAAGGAGCGCATGGTTAAACTACCCAGCCTCGAACAAAAGTTCAATTTTTGATGTATCTGTTTTGAGTTTCTCCTCCATCATCAGTTAGCTCTCTTGTCCTTACAGCTTAGAAAAATGTCACTCTGAATTTTTACTCTTCAGAAAAAAAATTACTAAGGGAAAACCCTTTTGTTTCCCCTTAAAAGCTATCTACTGAATTTATTTAGTTGATAGAAAATGGTGACACCTAGGCACATTGCTGTCCTCACCATTGCTGACACAGACACTCCCTTTGTATATGGGTAGTTTTGGCCTTCTTGCTTTTTTTAGTATCACTGATGGCTGATTAACAGAAAACTGTACACATTCAGCACGTGTGATGCTTTAGCATATGCTAAAAGGGTGGCATGATTTCCACAATCGAGCTAATGAACTTATCACCTCATAGTCTTTAAAACATATGTGATAAGAATTGTTAAACTCTCTGTCAGCAAGTTTCAAAACCATCATACTTATTATTAACAATGCACATTAGGCCTCCAGAATATGTTTCTTGTAACTGCAAGTTGTACTCAGACCAGCATCCTCCTCTGACCCCTGATAATCACCTTCTACTCTTTCTGTTTATTAATTCAACGTTTTTACATTCCACTAAGTGACATTATGTAGTATTTGCCTTTCAGAATTTGGTTACTTCATGTACTATAGTATTCATTAGGGCATGAAGGACATGTTGTCAAATGACAGGGTTTCTTTTTTAAGGTGGAATTGTATTGTATATGTGAATGTACAACACAGAGAGAGAGAGACAGAGAGAGAGAGAGAGAGAGGCAGAGGGAGGGAGCATTTCTTTGTTCATTTGTTGTTGATGGAGTCATTGTTACTATGCCTGATGCTGCAGTAAACATTACTATGTAGACATCTTTTCTAGACAGTAATTGAATTTTATATGCATATTTACTGGAGGCAGGATTGCTGGTTGTATGTTAATTCTGTTTTTAAATTTGTGAGTAACCTCCATACTGTTTTCTGTAAGGGTTGACCCCATTTACTTTCCTAGCAATGATGCGTAAAGAGTTCTCTTTTCCCCACATTGCCAGAGAAATTCAAGTCAAAGTCCCAGGAAAATAACATTTCACATCTGTTGGGATGTCAGTTATCTTTGTCGTTCTAGCGTGGGATTATACCATCCCCATTTGAGTAAAGTGAATTTATCAATTCAGTCAAAATTCTTAACCTGCAAGGCAACAAGAATACATAAATGACTTTATCACACCCGGTGCCAGCTACTTAGCATGTGCTTACTTATTTTATCTTTCCAGCTACATTATGGAGTAGCTGATATTTCTTTTCTTCACCGAGGTAAGTACTTGGCCTGAAGTCACAATAGTTTCTAAGTCTCCCAGCCATCATGTGAGCCTAGTACTAGCTAATTGCAGATCAGCCTTTCTTGTTCCTTTCTTTTCCATTGTTTTGTAATCACATAGGCATTTTATGCTGAGTACATGATACAACACCTATATAAAAACCACACACAGCATTATGTGCTTCCTGTTAGACCTGGCTAATATTGTTTCTGAGTTTCTCCCTCAGCTTGTACAGTATAACCTATTTCCAGGGTTCTGCTCATATGGAATATGAGCAATGAACAAATGTTGCCTGTGGCATTTCATGTCTAATGAATGGCATGGTGTTCTTGACTCCTGAAAAACGTATTTTCTTCTTCTATTTGCTCTGTAAAAGATTTGGACACTATTCACACGCTGTAGAAAAGGTATGTGTTAATTTTTCCCAACAGGCTCATTGTTTTCTCCATTAGTGTGTAAGGAGTCAGAGGACATGGTAAAGAAGGGTCCAAGGATCTCTCAGATAGAAAGGGCTGTAGCCACAAGGGTGCTATAAGATCCACTCACCATCAGCTCATTCTGGGCAATAGGTCTTTTGAAATGGATGAATTTATCTCTTCCCTGTATTTTCTGTTTTCCATTTGGTTCTCATTTCCAGCTATACATTCCCAGTAGTGTTGTGACAATGTATTAAAATTTTTGATGTGAGGTTCTAAACATAATCTGCCTTTCCTATCCACAGATTCTGTATTTTTAGATTCAATCAATATAAATAAAAATAGTCCAGAAAGTTTAAAATGTAAAAAAGAAATTAATTTTCTATGTGTTCAATGTGTTCTAAGGGAAGTTTGAGTACATACACTCCAGTCAACAGTCTTCTGCCATTTTGCACATCCCTGGTGTCTTTTCAGAAGACTTTGTGCAACTAGAGAGACCTCACCATGGCATCACTGATGATCACTGTTTGAGATGTCTTATCCTAGTGGTCACTCTGACAAACGTGAAGGCGCCATTAGCTATTGAGGTATCATCATCAGATTGACCTGGGCATGTCAGTGGGGCATTTTCTTGATTGGTCTTTGACAGGTGAAAATCCAGCCACTGTGGGAGGTGCTACTATTGGATAGGTGAGCCCGGGTTATACAAGAAGGCTCCCTGAGTGAAAGAACAACCCAGTGAAAGGCACCTCCACGCTCTCCACTTCAGGTCCTGCTCCCAGGTTCCTGCCCTGAGTTCCTGAACATGGCTACCTCAGCCCCCCATAATGGCTTAAAACCTACAACTCAAATAAAGTCTTTCCTTAACAAGTTGGTTTGAATCAATGTTTTTTCACAGTAACATAGAGCAAAGTAAATCACTTCAGAAACATTAATTATCTTGGTCAGTTCTTTCGCATCCATGGTTAGAAGTTTAAAGAAAAGGAACACTGGGAAATAAAAGGATAGAACCAATAATTACTGAGCCCATATCTGGGAACCCACATCACTCCATGTGCTTCTCTCATCTATCCTGTAAGATACCGACAAACCTATTTTAC